TGTAGGTATATAGGTATGAATTAATATTAGTTTAAAATCAGGCCATGCCACTAATTTCAAGGAAGGTGGGAAGGATATGTGTGAGTGTTTGGAGGGAGAAAAGGGAAACAACAGATATTTTAATAATTCATAATCTCAAATTTTTTCAAAGAAGAAGTTTTGCTACAACTATACCAGCACATTTTTAGCTAAATGGAGTCTACATGTGGTACAATGATGAGAAAATTAATTTCAACATGTTCCATTTTTCCGTGCTTCATATTATCTGTTCATACAATCAAGTGTTTTGAAATTCGTTTTGTTACTTCTATGTCTATACATTCAGCTCAGCTACATAGTGTCCACTGCTAATGAAGTCATGGGAATGGTGACATCTGTTTTCAGGCCAATTACTTTTATTCTTTTCACAGACCATAACCCTAACCTAAGACAAATTGCACTAAAATTAAATGTCTTCTCTTATAAGGGAGTCAGCATTGGGATATATGTGATTCTTTTGTCAACACTAAAGAAAATTTCAATATCCATGTTAGTGAAGATCTAGTAACTGCAGTATCTAAATGCTCGACTTATATAAATGCAGCATAACAGAATAAAATACACATTGGTACATAGCCATATATTTTCTCAGATTACGTTTTAGGAGAATTAGTTCACTGATATCAAAACAGTCTGAATCATTTTAATTTATTTTATTGTTTTAATGTAAATAACACTTGTATAAATTCTAGTCACAGAAATGAATGGCAGCTTTTACTCTTGATAAGTTACCTTTGCCATCTTAAAAAGTGTTAATTTCCATTTTATTCTCCATGACTCCACAAATGAAAACATTGTTTGAACTCCTGGGTCAGTTTCTCTTTAGCATTGAGTTTGATGGATGATCTCAAGCTTCAGCCATGGTGTGAGCTAGGTTTATGATTCCCACTGGGTGCAGAGTCTTTTAGAACAGCATGTATACCTTTCACCATTAGTTAGCCCCTAAAAGTGTGACTGCACATTTGAAAACACCTTATAAATCATCACAATTAACAACCTTCAAACTGCCCATCCAAAGCAACTGGCTTAACATGCCATCTGTTATTTTAACTTCAAAACCCTCTAGTCGATTTATCGAAGGCAGCCATTAACATGTGAAATGATGCTCCTTTTTAAGATGTGTGATGGGCTGATGCAGTAAAGCTTTTGTTTTAATTATCAACAATTTCTATGATGCAATATAATTTAGTGATACTCAGGGCTCTTTATAAATCAAAAGTAATCCAACTAAAACAGTAATTAATGTCAAATGATGAGTCACAAAAGACCCTATTTAATTAAAAAAGTTCTAATCTTTGATTACATCTCATCATTCATTCTACTGATTTCAAACTCTTGTCTGAAGAAAGGAATATAATTGGGGACATAGTCTATTGTCTCTCTAAAATAACACCTGAAAATGACATGAAATGGCTCTAGTGTGCTTAGAAGTTGCATATATTTCATTAGTTATTTTCTCCTTTGCCATTAAATTTAAGATCATTACTTTGATTGAGTAATATCTGAGGTGTGAAATAACAGATGAAATAAAATGCACTAAAAAGTCAGTCTATTATCAAAAATATTGTTTAAGCATTGTATTTCTTACAGGTGAATTTAAAGAATAATTGTATCCTTACAAACTCAGTAAAAATATCTGTCATTAAAAATGCAACATTGAGCCAGTTCATTATTATATATATTGGGCTTATACTTAGAAATGCTAGCTGGGTGTGGTGGCACATGCCTCTAATTCTAGCGCTTAGCTGACAGAGACTGGCAGATCCCTGTGTTCTCAAGGCCAACCTGGTCTACAGAGTGAGTCCTAGGACAGCCAGAGCTACACACATAAACCCTCTTTTGAAAATCCAAGTAATATTACTAAATAAGAAGAAAATTAAATAAATACTTTAAAACATTTTAATTGCATTTTTTAAAGTCAGTGGTGGTTCGTGCCTTTAATCTCAGCACTCAGGATGTGGAAGCAGGTGAATCTCTCAATTTGAAGCCAGCTAGATCTACAGAGAGGGTTCCAGGTCAGCCAGGAATACACAGAGAGATCTTGTCTTGAAAAATAAACTAACTAACTAAATAAATAAACACATTTTCCTTAAATATCATATTCCATTGTGTATAGGTTATACTACATATGAAGGCCACTATCTGGTTCCATTGTATTTATTTTAAGTCACTATGAGAATTTAATATTTAATTGAAAGAATGTTAAACTTAACCACCAAGAATGTCTTATTTTCAGTGGATTTTCAAGATTGGTATATTCCTAAATGGACATGACAGCAGAAACTTGTTGTGGTATTCCTGGAAGTCCATACTGTCATGTGGTATTCCGTGTTTCAGTGACAAGGGTCTAAACCAGACATGGTGCAGCAACATGACACTCAAATGTTAATGTTACTAACAGGAAGGTTAATACATTTTGTTAAGTCAGTGCAGCACACTCTGGAAATATCTTTTTTTATCCATAACGAACAATTTCAGCCTTATCTCAGTTACTGTTCTAGCCTCACCTGTTAATCTGACCACAATTTCAAGAGCAAAATAAAGACTTAAGAAAAGCTAGAGGAGAAGATTGACAGCACTCGTTCAATGCCATCTATTTCCTGTGTGAGTACTGGATGGGACATCATTGCCCATAATGTACCAAATAGATCATTCACTGTATTGTAATTTAAATGAAACACTTATGCAGCAAACATAAAAGAAAATGTCAGTAAAATAGAATAGGTAAATATTGCTTTTATACTGACTAAAACCACATGAAGTGCAAGTAAAACATTTTAACAGCAAATACATTTGGTTAATACAATTTAATGTCCCATGCACTGATTTTAATATTAAGATAAAGCTAATGAATACAGAAATAATGTTTTCCTCAATACATTTAAAATAAGAAAAGTACTTGATTAACTGATACAGCACATCTTTAAACATCTTAAACACAGCCTCAAGTCATTTGCATGTATGACTAAAGCACTGTGCTAAAATTGGTGGGTCTCAGTATTCAGTAACAAATGGAATTGACTTCACGAGGATAATTGAAACAATAAAACAAGTTAAAAGTCATATCACAATATAATTCTAATTTTTTATTTAATAATCAATATGAAATTAAGTTTTATTTGATCTAGCTATGTCCTTGTATTAGATATCCTTTTTTTGTCACTATATCTAGCTAACACAACAAAAATCTCTTGGAGGAGGAAAGGTTTATTGGGGTTCACCATTAGAATTGTTGCAATGCATCAAGACAAGGAAGACAGGGTAGCTGAAGCTTGTCTAGGATATGGCAATAGGAAGATGTTTTATCTGCTACATACCAGCTGGAACTCTAGTGACCCACCAGAGTCCACTCTGCCACCAAAACCCACCTTTCAGGGATCCACTTTCAGTGAGGTCTGACCCTCTATTTCTTCCATAGTTTCCAAATGGTGCCACTAACTTGGTGCAAAGTTTTCAAACACATGAGATTGTGGATGATAAGTACTTAATGCTAAACCATAATTGTCCTTCGTAATACTTTTTAAATTAAGTATTCTTATAAATCTTAAGTACTACAGTTAATTTTTATCTGCTGCTGTCTCTTCAATCTTAAATATGTCTGTGGTTGTTTATGATTTATTAAAGCTTGCCTGAAGGTTCAGAAAGCAAACTCAACCCCAGGGTATAGAGATCAGGCAGTGGTGGCACATACCTTTAATCCCAGAACTCGGGAGAAAAGCAGATGTATCTCTGAGTCCAAGACCATGTTGGGCTACCAGAGTGAATCAGAGCTCATGCCTTTATTCCTGAAAGACCCCTACCCAGGACCCCCTAGAAAAAGAAAATCAAGGCCAGGCCGTTGCCTAATGAAAGAAACCCAGACCAGGTGCCTCGCCCAGCTGGCAGGATGTCAAACAGGATCTGTGGTCACCAGAGCAGTCATGGGACCCGGATAATAATTGCTGAAGCATGCCAGGGTCTTTTATGTGGCAATACCAGGACACCTAGTCCTTGGCAACTACCCCTGCCCCCAGTTGTGTCTATGATCACCATAGTAGTCATGGGACCAGGATAATAATTGCTGAAGTGTGCCGGGGTCTTTCATAAAGTAATACCAGGAAACTTAGTCCGTGGGAACTACCCCTGCCCCCAAGATGAGCCAATGAAATGCCTGTTACTTATGTAACCATTAAAACTCCATAAATATTGTGCTCCCTGCAAGCCCGGTATGCTCTGCACCCGAGTTGCAGTAGCATCCAAAGGCGCCTGTGTACTCAATAAATCACCTCTTGCATTTGCAGCCAGTGGTTTGGCCCCGGATCTTGGGCAGAGGGTTCGGTTCAGTGCCCGGCACTTTGATGCCGAGGTCTTTCAATTCCCAGGATTTTAAAGGTATAATAGGTGGCATTCAGGTTGAGAGTTAGTCTCTAGCCACATTGAGGAGAGCATAGCAGTCTGACTGAATCCGAGGAGCAGTGAAGTTTGGAGCAATTTGAGGATTGCCCCTTTGGTCTGAGCTAAGGTAAGAGCTAGTAGCTGGCTGCTTTGCTTTTCTGATCTTCAGCTTGAAGCTTGAACCCAATATCATCCTCTCGGTCTTTTACTTAACATTCTACATATGTCCCTGATGTTTCTTTATTATTAAAAATGTTATTTTAAACAGTATTATTCCCTTACTTTTAGTTGCATGTATATATTTAGTCATAAGTATTCATTTTTATGCTGCTAATTAATTTCTTCCAAGTTCATCTCATTTTTATATTCTTCAAATGTATATGTCTTGAAATTTCAATATTTAAAAGTAAACCACTATTATTAATATATATATATATATCATATACAGTAAAAGAGTCAGTTGCACAGATGACAGTATATCTTTTGTAATATTTTACATCTTGCATGTCTATTCAAAAGAACAGTGCTCTAGTATAAAATGACATTGTCAGTGTTTCACTAGAGAGAAAATGAAATCTATAGAAATATTAGCATAGTATAATGTGTTTTATTGGACATTTCTTGTTACAAAAGGCAATGACTAGCACCAAGTATGGTGCATTGTGGGGACACCAGACCTTGAGCAGAGACCCACTTCCCCATCAGCCTGGGACCAGGCAGCTGTAAGACAATGTTTATTAAAAACATGTTTACTAAAAACAATGCAGTGCCCAGGGCAATAAGTTCCTGAAAAGGGCTGGCCCACGGGAACCGCCCTGACCTCGACCTTTTCCAAAGACTAACCGCCTCTTTCTAGCCACCCACCACCCCTCCAGCCAGGGGAGGAATAAAGGAGAGCCTTCTTTAGGAGCCTTCGGTGTTGTCAATCCCTGACTCCCTCCGCACATTCTTGGACACAGGCTGCGCAGTGGGCATGGCAGTGCATATACCTATAATCCCAGCTTTCAGGAGTTGAAGGCAGGCAGATATTTTTTAATTCAAGGGGGAATCTAGTATATACATTGAGTTCCAACAAAGGCTAAATATTGAGATGCTGTCAAAAAGAAAAAAGAAGCTATGAATAAAACACATTTTGAAAATACATTATTGGTAATTTATACTAAGACATTCAAATTGGGAATATAAAATAAATTATTAAGTTTATTCTTCACCCTAAAAAATTAGAAATATAGTTATAAAACAATTTTGTGACTTATAACAACATGGAAAAACCCAAACAGTGCTATAATTTAAAGTATTTTTTATTAAATAAGATTTCTTTTAGCAAATTCTCTCTACAAACTCTAGAAGCAGGCAAATATTCGTTAGTGCTTTGGAGTAAGTTAACTAGTTTAAGTGATAAATTTTGATCACATGTCTGTTATGTAGTCAGGCAAATGGGAATGTTAGCTTTATACATATCAAGTATTTCTCAAAAATAATGGGTAAAACTACACTTAAGATCATCAGGGAAATCATCAGTAGAAGTCACACAAGAAATGCCCTGCCCATTATGAAAAAGCATGTCAATTCCAGCAGCCAAAACTGGCAACAGAATTTTGCTGTTATTTGGTATATATTTTCTTCAAGAAGTGAGAATCCTAACCTTACATTTGACAAACATTGTGTAAAATGTCATGTGATATTTTGAATGTGTGTCTGTGTTCTTTTATAATTTTGTTCCTGTTGTCACACATTAAGAAGCAAACAACTCAGTAAATAAACAGAAGAAAATTATGAGTTATTCACAACTAAGCATATATGTCAGAAGTAAAACATTTTCAAATATATAAAACAATGGATAGATCAATGAAAATATCAACTAAGAAAACACATTTTTAAATCTTTAAAACACTCAACTATAAACAGGATGGTGAAGAGATTAGCCATTGCAAGCAAACTGGATTGGAGAGAAAGCTCAGTAGAAGAGTACTCCCTAGATCTGTTTTGGAGCCTGGGTAGAGTTCTCCGTCCTGAAAATAAACAAATGAGTATTTAGTATGTAAATTTCTGTGTCTTTTATGCTGTATCTTCTATCAAGATAACTTTACAGTTCTTATATTCTCACCTGTATTTGTAATGATTTAGTGACAAAATGATGAAAATTGTTTAGAATTTGTGAAAATTTCCCAATTATCTAATCCCCACAAATGTGGAAGGGGATATTAGGTGTTTTATTAGCAGTTGTGAGAAAATGTTTTTTGTTATGTTAGCTAATTTGTCATTAAAACTAAGCAAAGTCAGTAGACTCGCTATTACTCTGAATAGCTGAGTGCTGTCACAAGGTCATTAGAAAGCTGTAGGTCCCATAAGAATACCAATGATCTCTGGGCTGACAATGTTTTTCAAAGGGCCTAAGACAATTTAGTAAATATTCCAGCATCAGGCATGAGAAACTCACTTTTGTGTTGTTGTTTTGGTTGGCTCAAGACACTCTTAAAATATTATATGCTTTGGTTGCACCTGGAATGTGGATGGTAAATATCTATTGCTGAGGACACCAGTACTTTATACATAGGGCATATAGGCCCCTGAGCTGGAGATGACACACATATCTTTTCCCTAAGGAGTAGTTTTTACAGTACCAGAAGGTGCTAAGCAAGCTTCCAAAGGAGAGAAACAATAACCAGTTTTACTCAGCTATGATTCCAATGAGCCATGACAATGACCAGCATACACCCTAAGGGTGAAATGGTGGTATGCATAACCAGCAGCTCTGTAATTGGACTTAAGACCTACTCAACAGGAAAGACACCATGCCTGGTGCTGGAAACCTAGCCAAGAGCCTGGGCTAATGAAGTATGGAATTTAGAAAACAACCTTTGCCTCAACATTTGCCACCTGTTCAGGTGAGGGGAGCATGTTCCAGAGTCACGAAAATAGGTGAACTCACCCTGATGCCCACTGACTGCAGCACTTAGAAGACCGGACCCTGTACCTCATGGGGCAGCACAGAAGAGGTTACCCTGTTGATGGGGAGCACAGGAGATCTGCCCCCTGCAAAAGTGCATAGGAGATCTGACTCTACCCCTAATCTGCCATATGGTGGCTTGGGCAAAAAAGAGACCTCTCCCCTTCTCCACCTATCACTTCCTGTGGCTGGTGATAGAGCTGGTCCTATGGTCCTATGGGTGGGAAAATTGGCACTACACCTCTGTCTGAGCACGCTGGCCAGTGGTCTCAGAAGGTCCGTCCCTCACACTTCCTCATGCATGGGAGCCTCCACTCTAAGTGAATGCTTTCCTGTTGCATAAGATGGCAGTATTAGTAGGCAGGGTTAATTTGTATTTTATGTGATATTTTTATTCAGAATGAGTGTGAAACGTACTGGCAAACCTACACTGAAGCCCCATGTAAGCAAGCATCTATAAGGTAGCAGAGACTAGCGGCCTTGAACCAGACCAACAATCCATTGTAAGGAACACTTATAAGTAAATATGAACTCAGGGGTATACTGTGTGACTCACTGGGACACACTATAGCTTTCATGAGGAGATTTTTGTTTGTCTGTTTGTTGGCTGTACTTTTAAATGTTTTATTTTGGGGTGGGGCTGTAGGGACAGAGGGTGGAGGCAAGATGACAAGGATATGAGTGGCATCAAAGTTATGTGGAATCCACAAAGAATAAATAAAAAAATTAAAAAAAAGAAAAAAAGAACCTTCAACCACTGCTTTGCTAAACCAACCAGCAGAATCCCTAACTAAATTCTGAATATTTGTTGTTTTACCCAGAGCTAGTGTAGTCTTCATTCCTCATCAAGGAAAATTCCCTTTGCAATAGACAGAGACCATTACAGAAATCACAGCCAATCAAACAGTAGAGTTGTGGATCCTACTACCAGGGGATACATCTATACAAAAATTCCTACACCTAAAGCTCAGAAAATAGTGTGTAAAAAAGGGGTAGAATGTAGAAGACCAGGGATAGAATGACTCTAGGAGAGTCAACTGAATACATAACAGACAATTTTCAATTTGACACATGTGAAGAAATCTGTACTAGGAATTTTGTGTACTCTTCCCGCCAGGCACCTGAGTCCCATTGTCACTGTAGCCCCCAAATAACACATGAGACACTACATTAATTATGAAACTGTTGGCCATATGCTATGGTTTCTAATCAGCTAGCTCTGACTTAATTATTAACCCATAATTACTAATATATATTTTTATAAGGACTTATCTTTCTAAGGATGCCCTCCTGACACCTCCTTTCCTCCCAGGAGATCACATGGCGACCCTCTACTACTTACAACATTTCCCAGAATCCTCCTCGACACATAGTCCCACCTATCTTGCTTCATATTGACCAACATTGCTTTACTTATATATACATAGAAGGACTCCCCTGCCCCATAAGTGTACTACTACTCTTTAAAAAGAAAAACTAATAAGAAAACCTTTATAGGGTTAGGTGTAGTTTTAATCTTATTTATGTACAAAGGTAACTCTTAAGCTATTCAATATAACATACAGAGAAAACAACAATTTCTTGTACCTACAGGAATAAAGTTAAGAGGTTTAACAAATAAATTATTGGGCATGTTAAACTATAATTCATGTTAAAGTTGTAGCAATATTGGAAGTTATGCCTGCAAAGCTTCTCTAGCATGACTGCCTAGACATGAGTTGAGCAAGGGCATCAACAATAAATATGCTAACAAGGGTGGAGAAAAATCCAGGAGGACTTGATAATGCACAAAGAACTATAGTAAACCAAGCAATGCTGAGAACTGTACAAATAGTCTTCCCTAAGAAGAGCATGCCAATTGACTATCTAATACCAAATGGTTATGCCTTAAAGCATGCAATTACTATTATAAGGATTGACTGGAATATACATATTTGCTCATGTTGGTTGATTGCTCCGAGACTACCATGGAGCCAAGCTCCATTTGAAAGGCAAAGTCCACATTGAGCTGACTAAAATGGAACATTGAGTTCTCTGGCCAACTAAGAGAAGATAGAGAGGCACACAGAAAAGGAAGAGGAGGGGCCATTGGGTTACAACCTCTTTTAGATCCAGAAAATAGAGAGGGAGGATCATGTCTTGGTTGCTCTATGGGATTCTCAGGTTTAGTCCTTAATATTTATCCCCAAGTTTTATTTTTCAATAAATGATAAAACAAAATCTGGCATCTAACTTTAGGTTTTAAATCAAGCTCCAGGCGGGAAAACACCACAGCTGTGCCACCCCTTGCCAGATGGCTCTGTGGGCCTGGCACCAGCCTTGCTGGGCAGCATATACACCACACTGGATCCTACCCTCTCATACTAATGTCAGGGCAAACAGTCCTATCCCACCCTGTGTCCCAGCAGCATGGATTTCTAATACTTGCTTCTTTACATTAGCTCTACAGACAACTCACACCACTTCCCACACAGCACATGAGCAACCACATTTGCCTCCAGCCTGAATGTGAAATTAGCACAACTCAGAACAACTCACTCCCCCCTACACACACACACACACACACACACACACACACACACACACACACACACACAGTGCTGCCACACAGTGCTGCCACTACAGCTGGCTACCCAAACACCCACCCATCCCTCCCTATACTGTCAGCATCATCAGATGTGGTAAGACACTTGGGGATTTTTAGAGGAGGAATTAAGACATAAAAAATGGGAGGATGAGGAATCTTTCCCATGTTAACAATCCAAAACATCACAATGCAGGAAGTTAGGATCCTATATACTGATACTGTGAATTGCCTACAAATGGAAGAAAAAATAAGGGAATAAACAACTTAGCTGATATTAATATGCCAATTATAATTATTATCAGTTTGGTAATTCATATTTCATTCTTATAAATGGTTTAATAACTGTGCCAAATATGATAATTTAACTGATAAGATTCAAGTCTCAGAAAGACTTCCTAGTGAAAATAATAAAATGTTGACTGATATGCAATCCTCAGAAAGGCTTCCTAGTGAAAATAATAAAATTTTGACAGATGAGACACAGGTCTTAGAGAAACCTCCTAATAAAAATAACAAAAATAACCAGACACACACAGAGGAATTTATAGCAGAACCTACTGCACAATTGCATTATGAAACTGAAGAGGAACAGCCTAAGGTTATTTGAAAATGATTTATTCAGTTACCATACAAGAACAACCACCAGATGACAGGGATCCACAAGGATATGCAGAAACTTGCTGGAATCCTATCATAACACTAGATTTTTAGGTGACTTAAGGAGGCAATAATATCATATGATTCACATTCACCTTTTGTGAGACAATGTTAAATTCATGAACAACTAGGAACAGATTATTCCATAAGACTGAAAAGATTTAGTTACAGTGATATTGGAAGCTGGTCCTCTGTCACAGTGGAAAACATTGTGGAGAAGGGAAACTAGGGTCAGGATCATAGAACAAAGAAGTAGGACAGGGAGTATTGGAATTTCCCAAGATCAATCTCTTGATGAAGACCAATATGCAGAATTACAAAGAAGATTTCTATATTTGATTATCACAACATGACTCTGTGCCATACATAAATCCAAATGCTTGGGACGGGGTTGAAGAATTAGGAAAGAGGACTAAGTTATTTACTAAAATTACGCAAGAGTCAAAAGAAGCCTTCATTGATTTTTTACAAAGATTGACTTCAGCTGTAAACAGAATGATCCACAAGTTACACAAATATTTATTAAATTTTTTTGCTTTTGAAAATGCTAATTACACAAACATTTATTAAATTTTTTGCTTTTGAAAATGCTAATTCAAGATGCAAAAAAGGCAATTAGGCCTTTAAAGGTGAGATCAGCACATATAGATGAAGGGATCAGAAATACAGTAGATATTAAATCTCTTACTCATGATGATACCTAACTATGAGTGGTGATTTCCAAAAACTTTAAGAAAAATGAAAATGTTAGATGTTTTAATTGTGGTAAACAATGCCATCTAAAACGAGATTGTATGTAAGGCTCTTCTAGAAACAAT